TAAGGACAATGACTTCCTCTTTCTCCATGAAACCCCAGGTGGTCAAAACACAAAAGCCCCATACATTATTTTTTGTTCGGTTTGAACCTTAGATCCTTCTATAAGGATAATATTGACTTCAAGGGGTCCAGACAGTGTATTTCCTATGTGGTCAAGAAGGGTTTTCTTTTAGGGAAACAGGAGTTCAAAATAAGGACAAGAACTCTTAACTCTGCAAGGATACAACCAACACAATGTAGCAGCCACCAATGAGACTGCTTGCTTCCAAGTAAAGTATTAGGTGAAAGAAGAATAAAGGATTAAAGCCAAACACTCACAGCTCCGTGTTAAGCTGGGCTGTTATAATCTAAGTATTCATGAGAAACCATTTTAGAATTTAGAAGGGGGTGGGAGAGAAGTAACTAGAGTCAACTGTAATACAGAGAGGGTCTGTCACATGATCTAATTACAGAAATGAAAGCAACCCAGGAATTATGTGGTCTATTCAAGCCTGCAGGGAGGACGAACAAAGAATATAATTATCCATCAAGCCTGTTGATGAAACAATTACTATTTAAAGCAGATATAGATTTAAAATTAATTTGCTTCTGCATTCTGAGGATTTGGGGACAGAGATAAACAGTGTTTGAAGTTTAATTATCCGTGTGTAAGATGAAGGGGCTCATTTCAATTTGGTTAGCACTGCGAAGCGTTTTGGATGGTGTGAAAGGAAGGACCCGACTCGGCTGAAAAGTCCCAGCACCGCTAGAACCTGTGATTAAAGCGAGTGAGGAAGCTGGTTCAGCCTCATCCCCACAGGATGTGGTAGTATCACGGGAGAGATGGTGCAATTGCAAATTAATATTCAAATGAGCACTAGTTTCAAGTTTACCTGGAGGGGGTAACACACTATCTCTAAAAGAGCAGAAGAGGGCCAGCCAAAGAGTTCCAGACTCCAGAGCCGTGAGATCTGGGGAGTGGAGACCTTCACGCATGTATGAGCAAAGAGGACATCTACCTGCCAGCTACTCTGAATGGACTGATTCTTATCAGAGGCCATGTGTGCAGTGTCCCAGGGCCGAATGGCAGGGCTGAGGGGAGGGCAGGGTGAAAGGGTGAACTGGAGCTGGAGTGCAAGATAAAAAACAGAGACTAGAAAATTCAAAAGTTAAAGAATGACTGTGGATATGCGTGGAATTGTGTCTGTGTTCAGACATCAAAACTCCCGGGGACCGAATTTCTAGACGTCAGACCCAACTCACTAGCCGCCATGGAGGAGGTGTGCTCAGTGACCCGGCTGTGCTCAAAGGGTCTGGAGCAGAGCCGGCTACGTGACGTGGTGGTTAAGAGGATGGGCTTGAGAACGGGCCAGCTTGAGTGTAAAGGCCAGCTCTGCCACTTTTCAATTTTGTGACCTTCTCAAAGCGTTTGACTCCCCAAGTCCCCTCCATCTCATTGATGACATGACTTTCCTTCTTTCCTCATTGCGTGGCTGTAAGTATTAAATATGGTTATGAGGGAAAACCTCAGTGTCCTCTCCCTACTTAAACTTCCAAGGGTTCCCCATAGTTTTTTGGGTGAAGAATCTCCTCACCGTTGACTGCAAGGCCCGGCAACGGAGGGACCCCGTCACCTCAGCCACCTTCCCTTTCCCCTCCCCACCACTCTCTCCACTCCGGCCACGCAAGCCTCCTTTAAGTCCTCTGCTTTCTCTCCTGCTTCAAGGCCTACCCGTTTACTTTTGTCTCTGCCTTGGAACACTTTCCCTTCCCCCCTCCTTTAACCAGTTAACCGTTATCTATTCATTCTGCAGATCTCAACTCACAGTATCTTGGGTGGTAGTTAGCAGCACAGGCTCTGAGGACTACCTGTCAGGTTCAAAACCCCAACTCCACCACTTACTATCTGTGTGACTTCTGCCCATCTAAGAGTCAGCTTACTTCCTACAAAATGGGCACGAACACCTGCACCTACCTCATACCATTGTTGTAAGGGGCACAGGAATTAATACACATGACAGACAGTCTCAGCACACAGCCTGGTCGACGGGGACCACTGGAAAACTGCTCTTGCCGTATTCCCCAAAGCCCTCCGTTCCATGTCACTTGTCAAGGTAGCAATTTTATGTTTGTGTGATCATTTCAATATGCCCATCTCTTCACGAGAATGGAAGCTCCATGGGGGCAGGAACTTCCCAGTGTTTAGTCCACAGTATAGACTCAGTTCCTAGCAGAACAGACACCCAAACATTTGCTTGAGGAATAAATGAATGGAAATGCTGAGCCCAGTGCCTGGCACCTAGCGGGACCTCGATAAATACCAGCTTTTCAGTAACAACCCACTGATAACGCCAACTGATAATTGAAAAAACTAATAATCACTTTGCCCAGAGGTTCTCAACTGGGAGTCATTTTGCCCCCCAGGGAAGACTGGCAATACCTGGACAGGGCGGGGAGAGAAGCATGCGGGTGCTGCTGGGATCGAGTGTCAAGAGGCCAGGGAGGCTGCTAAACATCCTACAATGCACAGGGCAGCTTTCCCATGACACAGGGTTATCCAGCACAAAAATGGCAACAGTACTAAGGTTGAGAAACCCTGAATTTTGCCTTGTCATTTTTCACTGATTGCTTAATTCACCCGTTGAGTTATAGCAGGCAAATCCAGCTTAAGGTAATCATTCTTGCCTTTCATTCTGTCCATTTCTGGAGGTATAAGGCCATCTTTGCCTCCCCCTCGGTCCCCAGACTCTCTTGGCCTAACGGCACAGTCTCATTTCTTCTCACCCCTGTGCCGGGTGAGAGCCTGAAATTTGGGCACGTGGGTGAGGCTGAAGAAAAACACACACTCCAAGACGTCTCCCATTTTGTTCCCTCTTTTGCCTCATACACATATTCCTATTTTCAGCAGAGCTTTCAGTAGAAGCCAAATGTGAGTACCACTACTTGGCTTTTAGGACAGAGCTCTGTTTCGAATGTCATGCTTCAAGAAAGTTCATGTAGCCAAAAAGTAGGGCAGGGGCCAACATGTTTGATCTCTCATATCTAATACAGAGGTCACTCTAAGATACAAGAGAATTTGCTCCAACCATAAGCCCTGGGCTCAAAGTTATCAAATATAAATTCATAGGGATGAATTATAGGATCTGAGAAAAAGTAGGATAATGGAACAAAGTTGTTCTGAAGTGGCAATCCCAGTAATATAAAATGCACCAATACACACAAATGCTAGAGGTTAATACAAATTTTAAAACTCAACATTTAGTCGACCGCATAAAATGACATGTTGACAATGGTTAAAAGTATGTCAAACAGAAATTACAAGTGTTGGCAAGGGTGTGGAGAAACTGAACCCCTTGCACGCTGTTGGCTGGAAGGCGTAATGGTTCAGCCACGGTGGAAACCAGTTTGGCTGTTTGTTCCTCAAAAACTTAAACAAAGAGTCACCCTATATCCCAGCAATTATATTAATACCAGTATAAACTAGGCATAGAACCAAAAGAATTGAAAACAGAGGAACAAGAACATGGATGTGTATATTCACAGCAGCACTATTCACAACCCCAAAACGTTGAAGTAACCCAAATACCCATCAACAGATAAATGGATAAATAAATGGTGGTATATCCTTACAATGGAATATTATTCAGCCATATACAGGAAAAAGTACTGATACTTGCTACAGCATGGATGAACCTACAAAAATTGTATGCAAAATAAAGTCACATAGTATATGATTCTGTGTATATACAATTCTAGAATAGATAAATCCATAGAGACAGAATGTGGATTAGTTGTTTCTAGGCGCTGGAGAAAGGGGGAAATGCAGAGAAATGCAGGAAAACTGCTTAATGGGTAAGAGGTTTTATCTATTAACACAGAATATCATCTCCTTTAAATTAAGGCGGAAACGTTTTGGAACTAGATGGACGTGATTACACAACACTGTGAATGTACTAAATGCCACTGAATTGTTCACTTTAAAAATGGTTGATTTTATGTTATGTAAATTTCATCTCAATAAATTCTGTTTTAAAGCGTGCTAAAATCGCACAAACTTGACAGACACTGAAAAAGAGAACACCTCAAAATGGAAATAGATGCAGTAGCCTGGGGGACTGTATGTAATCTATTTTTGCAGTCTTGATATCACTTTGTTTCTTTCAAAGTAATATGTATTGGCTATAAAAACTTAAGAAAATACATAAAAGTACCACAAAGAATATATAAGGCTCTATGGATAATATTTCCAGTTTTTCAAAATATATATTCTTTAATGTCAATGTCAAATTAACTTTGCAATTAAAAAAAAAACCAAGACCCTGTGCATTAAGTAATATAAACCTACACAGTTGAACATTTATTTCTGCCAGAGCTATTATTATAAGCTTGTTTCTTTCTGTGGGCAGAGGCTGGGCTGGGGGACCAAGGGTTGCCAGGGAAGCAGGTAAGTCTGTGACATTTTGGCTAGGGCCTCTCTTCTATCCTTCCACCCATCTCAGACCAGTGTGTCTGGCCCTTACCAGGCTGGCAAATTCTGGTCTCTGTGGGACAGAAAGCTTCCTTCTCCTCATCTGAGCCATTGACCCTCCAAGAAAGAGACTGGAATTTCTACTCCTTTCCCTGCAGAGCCTCCTTCCTGCCCACAGCAAGAGGTCTCCATAACTTATTGTACTCGTAAGCTCTGAGAATGGGGAGATGGGGGCTTAGTATCTTTGACTTCATGAAAAAGATCATTACCTCCAAAATATTTGCAAATGATGGTGAACTGTATGTCTCACTTCCCATCCTACTAAACTTTTTGAGCATAAACATGAATAAAATGAGAAAGAAACAAAAAGAGGAGCAGAAGTTTGGAGCTTGGCTCAGCATAGAATGGATATGTTACCAGTGAATTAACAATAATCAAAGGTCCATGTTATAAACACACTGCAGTGGTAACTGTCTCCATGAAAAGACACCACCCCAATTCACAGACCCAGAGGTTTTGGGTTTGAATGTTCACTCTTACCTTCATCTATCAGTGGCCTCTCTCTCAATCCAATTTTATCATCAAAGCTTCAGATCCAACATCCATCCTCTTCTTGCAACACTTGTTCCTCCTGTTCTTACAGCAAAACTGCCCTTCCCGAGTCACTTCCTCCTGACGAAAAAGACCAGATGTCAAAGGTGTGCAAGTATCCTCAAGAGATTTCCTCCCTACAGAAACTGATAGGACCAAAAGAGCACTAGTTTACCAAAACATGGTAAAGGAAATAAAAATAGATAATTGCCAGAAATATCAACATTGACAAAAAAGGGCAGAGAATTTTCCAAGTATGGAGTTGCCTCTCTGGCATGGGAAGTCTATCCCACAGCTGATGGAAGGTACTGAGTCTTCTCCGTTTCCCCAGGGAACTTAGCATTAATGGTTTTCCCAAAAACAGCTGCTTGAGGAAACATCACCACAAGCAGATAGAGGAAGCCTAGCCAACTGGTCTTGTCTCTGCTCCTTGCTGTGCATGATGCACAGACATACAGAACCTACAGCAGTAACACAGAGTAACAAATCAAGAGAAATAAAGGAGAGACTAGTCAAACGCTCAGTGTCCTCTTGTTCTGTCTTGTCACGATGCACAGACATGAGAAATCATAGATGCTTAAGAAAGAAGTGAACTATGCTCATCAGATACCAGCAAAACACTTCACATGTCTGTACATTGTATGGTTTCTATCTCAACCCAAAACCCACCCTGATCAGGAATTTGGAGGCACTTGCCTAGAATGCGGCCTGATTTTACTCTGGGCTGTACAGACCTGCCTACGGGGTCTAAGTGAAGACTCTGCAGAGACAGAGTTTCAGGTATTCAAAAAGGTACACTTCCATATAAACCAAAGTGGCCACCAGATGTGAGGCACTCATGCCCCAAGCTATGAGAAAGTGGAAAAGTCAAAATGCCCCCATGAGCCATTTGGTATCATTGAGTTTCTCCTGGGACACTCTGTACTGCCTGTAAATATGACCAAATCCAATTCTAGGTAGCTTCTGGAACAAGGCAAGTGTTCAGGATTTATTCAGGCCAACATCTGGAAACATGCATGTTCCAGTTAACTCTGTGAAAAAGCGAAGTCATATCCTGGAACTGTCCCCCCCCCACCCCCCCCCCCCGCCCCTCCTCTACCAGCCTAAAAACCTCCACAGCACAATATGTCTCTAAGACGCCTTAAGATAGCATCACAAAATTGGACAATAGCTGGCAGGAAATCATCTCCCAGACTTGCCAGACTTGGTATTTTTTAGGGTAGAAAGCATCTAATGGCCACGAGTACTTCATTTAGTGTTTTTCTAATGCATTGCAAGAAGTTCACTCTCTAGCACTGAACTCTGCCAAGGAACCCATCTCAACCTCCCATCCCGCCTCTAGAGAATTTTCATCCAAATATTTTATTAAGCTTGTCCCAAATGCTCAGTATTTGCAGAGTACTTTGCAATAATTTAGTAGCCTTCTCTCAAGACACACCTAGAGAAAGGAGATTTCGCACACACTATCAACATTTACTTTGCAGAGGGAGACCCTGGAGTCTCCAGGGAGGTTTACAGCTAGTGGCCAAGATCTTTTTGGCGTCACAAAGAAGGGGCAGCTGGTTCCACTGGGAAGGGGACCAGTGACTGCAAGGTCTTCCCTTTTGGCTGGTGACAGTCTGTTCCCCATTGAAGTTACTCCTTGGTGCCTTCTTAGACAAAGGTCTATCTTGAAGTATTTTAAGGTGTTGTTTATCGGGAAGAAGTAACATATTAATTAGCTAATACTGTAATATCGGTTCATATGTTAGTATTGATAAAATTTTCACGTATCTGGACAACGTGGTTATCACCCACGTGACAACAGGTCCTGCAGTGATGAGACCTAGGACAGGTAAGTTTGGAAAAGGAAGCTAAAAAGGAAGAGGAGAATTATCCAAAGTAGGAGGTGGTCTAGGACCAGGATACAGGAAACAGTAGGAGGGGGTAGTGATGCGGGCGGGAGAGAGGAAATGAGGGCACTAGACACTTGGCTGATTTGAGATGCAGCAGGAGGAGCAGAGGAAATGAAAACCAGACTTTGCTGAATTGACGAATCTGCCTGAGCCGGCGCTGCGCTTACCGGCACACAGGGAGGAGACCCCAGGGAAGGGGGACGTGACTGGTCTTTGATACCCTGCCCTCATTGGCACCACTGCTAAGGGAACAATAAGCTCTCAGAGAGCTGTGAGATTGGGTGGAGTGTCAGGAACAGAGCAGGAGCAGGGGAAAGAGGTAGGAAAGGATCGGAAGTTCTCCAGGTTGGGAAGAGTGGAGTGGGTCAGAGGCCCTGGAATTTCCCATTGGGTGACCATGCCCGGGTCCATCTCCCGGGAAGGTGGCCATGCCGCCACAGTTCACGCCACGGCCAGGCCTCTGGGAGTGCCTCCCGAGCCCATCTGGGATCTCTGATCTCCTAGCAAAGAGTGTGTGAGGAAGGACCACACCACACGCCTATCCTGATTCTGGTGTGGACATGTGCTCCTCAGCTCCATGATCCTCCTTCCCTTTTCTCATCCTCTCTCCCCATATCTCCTGCATGCTCCCTCTAGGACTGCCAAGACAAAATTGTTAAGAGATGCGATTTACTTCTTTGATAAAATGTAATTATTGAGTGGTACTGATTGATAAATCTTACCTAAAAAATTAAAAAGAAATTTAAATATTTAAGTTGCCTATGGATTCCCCTCTACATACAAACACTCTTCACATTTTAGCTTCACAACCTTCTGTGGGCTTACCCTCACTTCCTGGGATTGCCAACCCTTGATGCTGGTCTCTGGCTGCTTTCAGTTCTATCAGGATTCACCCCAAGGGACAGGCCTCATGTTCCTGGCCTTTTCTGACAATTCTTCCTGATAATCTTTCTTACCATCAAAACGTACCTGACCTACCTTCCGTTCCCTGAGAGCTTCCATTCCCTGAGAGCTATTCTGATATACCAACCTATACCAAGAGAAAACACATGCCTTATGGTTTTTTGAGAAATTCAAATGAGAGAAATTAACATATACAGGTAAAGTATTAATACTTTGTTATTATAAGTACATTAGTCCTTATAGGTAACAAACTGACATTTCAGGAGGGACTGAGAGAAATCTCATCTAAACCAGTGGCTCTGTTTGGGGGAATTTCAGGCATCAGGCATGCTGGCCTGGGAAAGGGGAAGACAGGGAGAGGCTGCAGCTTTGACTCTGACATTTTATAAGCCGGCTGCCCACTCCTCATGTGCTCGCTGCCCATGCTATGGCCAGTTCACGTTTTGCTTCATTCAGTTGAATCTGCGGGAAAAAATCAAACCTTAGATTGATCTATAGTTAATAATATTAAGTGTCTGAGGGACACGAGAGCATCAATGTACAGTTAGTCCCCAATTATGGAAAATAGCATATGCCTTAGGGCCAAATATCTTTTAAATCTTCTACAGTTGGCAAGGAACCATTAGGGACTCACTCCCCTAGACAGGGCCAGAACTGCTTCCATTCAGGGGAGTCTGTCAATTTCCAGCTCTGTGATATGGGACAAGATATTCAGCCTCTTTGAGCCTTAGGTGCTTCATCTATAAAATGGGGATAAATCCACCTATCTCACCAGGTTGTAAGGATTCAATGTAACAGTTATGTAGTATCTGGAAAGCACGTAACTCAAGGTTTGTCATACAGGAAACAAGTGAAAAGAGTAGCAGGCATAGCAGCTACTCCCAGGCATTTTAAGAGTGGAAATATTCAGCCTTCAAAAGGTCCTCAAAGGTAGCTGTATGATCTACAGATTAGCCAAAAGACTTGGAAACCAGTTGGGTTTGGGAGTTTCACATTGCCCTTCGAGACAGTTAGCAAACCCATGAAGTGTCTCAACCTCAAGGACAGGAATTTCTGCCCTAGAGATAGACATGACCTGTCTAACCAGAGATAGAGCAGAGGGCCTGGCCAAGCCCTGCAAGACTTCTCCCTCCCACCAAGCCAAGGGTATACCCACTCCCTCTCCTTTTCCTGACCTCACCCTTTTCCACCCACCTACTCCCCACCCCCCTCCCGGCCTAATCTCAACTCCAGGAGTGCTCTTTGCTTTTCAAATGCCTTGCCCAGCTTAATCAGTAACCAGCTGCCCTCCACTGCCAGTTAGTAGCCTGCCCTGACATGAGTTCCTTCTCCTGCCAGCCAGCAGATGTGACTTTTTTAGGAAGATTCAATTCCCAGCCTGCGCCCTTCAACTAATGACAGCCTCTCTCTCTCTCTCTGAAGGTTACCTGTCGCCAGCCAGCATTCTTGCTCATGAATGCAAAGTAAAGTGTGTGCTTGCCCTGACCTTGGAAAAGCACATCATTCTATATACGAGTTCTAAAAAAGAACATTTGACATTTGCTGTCTTATTTGTGTCAGGACTGAGAAAAGTCCCGTGTGGCAGGATACTCTCTTAGGTTCAGGGATGTGGTTTGTGAATGGCACTTGTCAACTAAACCTTGCAATGATACTCAGCAGGCATGATGTGGAGAAAATGTTAATGAAATCTTGCCTAACTGCCGGAACACATTTGAATAGAATCAAAGTCATATGTGAGATTTTTTTCTCTTATACTAAGTCTTTCCTGCATATATTAACCTTTTGCCAGTTTTTTTTTAAAAGCACAAAACTAGGATGATTCACTCATTCAATCATTCTTCAAACATGTATCGAGTACCCATTACGTACCAGACCCTGTACTGAGCACTGGGACAAAAAATTAAGTGAGGCATGGATTATTTTAGGCAAATTATTATTCAAGATTTTATGCTGAGAACCCAACTTCTTGGTTTGCTAAAAACAGAGCAAAAAGACAACATGCATTTCTGGACCTTCGAGTCATTTGGAAATAGGCAAAGGGAAAGGCAGGGCTCTTAGAAAGAGCAAATAGACTGCAAGCAACCAGAATGGATGAGATGACCTCGGACAGATTGGGATGATCTTTCAGAAGGAGAGTATCCTGACTTGCTGTTGTTTATGAAATAGTCTTTCAAGCAAGAAGGGCCTGCAATGGCCAAGCTAGGCTTGCCCTCCTTGACCAGTCTCTGCCCTGCAGCCTGATGCCACTGAGAGTGAAATCCAGTTGAGCCCTGCTTTCCTGAT